TGATTATTATTCAAAGTTACAAATTCACAGTTGAAATAATAAAAAATAGTTTTAAAAGTTGTGAAAAATATTATGAAAGAACTAAAAGATTTGGAAAAGGCTTCCTATTAGCTCATAAAATGAACAGACAAAAAATTCTAACTGTGGGACAGATAATTGGCTTAAATTTTATTTTTATTGCCTATGAGATTTAAATACTACTTATATTGGTATATGTTTCACTTTTACGAATAATTTAAATACAAAACTATAATTTGTCATTCCTTTTTAGAGACCGATTGATTTTAAAATATACCCAGGTATTCTTAACGCTTAGAATTCTCAGAAATGAGATATTTTCCCGTAGAAAAGTCTCCTATATGTTAACCCCGATAACCAGCTATCATCATACCAAATTTCATCAAAATCTGTCCAGTGGTTTCCTCGTGATGCGTCGCCAGACAGACAGACAGAGAGACAACAATTCTAAAAACAACAGATTCGGCCTCTGTATCGGTAATAAAATAATGATGAATGACTATTTTAATAAGATTTTCCAAAAAAAATATTAATGTAGGTACCTACAAATTCGACTCAGTTACAATTTTATTATATATATTTATAGTTACTTTTGTTTAAATACAGAAAATATGCTACTTCTATCAACAAAAACTAGACTTACAAAAAGCTTTTAATTATTATACCTACACTAGTAAGGAAATATTTCACAACAAAATATATAAAAAATAAAGAAACATTAACAAATATTATAATCCTAAAGATCAATCTTTATTTGCTAACAAAAACGTTAATTCCAAACAAAATTTTCTACTATTACAATTTTCCTACGTGCGTGAGCTCCACGACCATACATCACACCGAATTACCCTTACGTGTACGCTAGTATGTGAGCGCCGATAAAATCTGACCCTGCTTAATAAGCCCAACGACTTTCGAACAATTTTGATTTAGTTCAGTGAACATGTTTATTTAAACGACTCTTTGTTAGAAATATTAATATTATAATAACCATTATGAGTACGAAAGTAGCATATTTGATGTTAACTTTGTACCTAAAACCTAATTGTATATCTATAGGTACATATAATAAAATTGTAACCACGCCGAATCTGAACATTAAATATTTTTTGGAAAATCTTATTGAAATAAAGATTATTATCGATACAGAGGCCGAATCTATAGTTTTTAGAATTTTTGTCTGTCTGTCTGTCGGTCTGTCTGTGTGTTACCGCATCACGGAAAAACCAGTGGAGGGATTTTGATGAAATTTGGTATGATGGTAGTTGGTTATGCAGGTCAACATATAGGATACTTTTTACTGCGGGAAAATATCCCATTTCTGAGAAAAAATCCAAAAACTGCAATGTAAGGGTATACTAATATGTAAAACCTAAGAATTTGGTTTGTGGTCATCTGAACGCAGGCGGAGCCGCGGGCACTGCTAGTTTATTATAAAATTACACTTGGTTTTAAAACGTTTTAGTTACTGGAAATATATAGAAAAAATTCCATTAAACTTAACGTATGTCATATTAAGTGAAAACGTGGACTTGGATATATTTAAGACATCGATGAAATTGGATATATTTAAGACATGTTTGTCTCTGTTTGTAGTGTACCCTACTTGCTGTGCCAGCGGTCGCGTGTTCGAGTCCCGCTGGGGACATTAACTTGTGTGATTAACAGGAATTTTTGTACTCCAGTCATGCGTGTTTATATTTATGTATGTATTTAAAGATAATTTCAAGATTGGATAAAGTACCTAGTGAAGTTGTATAGGTACCTACTTTATTTCATTTTCAACTGGGCCCGACTATCGACTCAGGAAAGCTTTATCAAAAAAAGTACATGCAGTTATCACTGTTGTGTATATTCAGCCCTTCAATACAAGGAGATCAGGCCATAGTCCCCCACGCTGACCAAGTGCGGGTTGGCGGACTTCACATGTCTTTTAAAAACTTGCTAGGTTCTCTCAGACATGCAGGTTGCCTCACGATGTTTTCCTTCACCATAAAACAAGTTGTAATCATATTGAAAATTATTCGCACATGTAAATATCAGAGGTACGAGATTCGGGATTATCTATTTTATAACTTAGGTAGGTACATTGAATTATCATTATTTTACAAAATAGAGAAATTTTCTTATTTAAGTAAAACTTGATATTTTCAATATTTAAGGTACTTTTCTTTTATGTCCCGCTCATTTGGTTCATCTTATATAGGTACTAGCGACTCACCCTCGCTTCGCTCGGGTTCATCCCCAGGTACGTTTTAATTTTTTTGAACAGAACCCTAATTCTTTTTCTAAAATAAAAGTAGCCTATGTTACTCCCTATAACATCAGCTATTTTCCAGTGAAACTCCCGTCAAAATCAGTCCCGCCGTTTCAGAGATTATCGGGAACAAACAGACAGAGAATTAAAAAAAAATGTGTTTTTCTTATAAGTACCGTATATCATACCTATAGGTACATTTAGTAAAACGCTGTTATTTTGACTTTACAAACAGACACCAATTTTTTTATCTGTATAGATTATACCTACATAGGTATGTTTTATAAATCATTTTACCCTTGAACGAAGTGAACCAGGGCGAGTTGCTTGCTAGGTACTAAAAAGATCGACATCTATATCTAAGAGATTAAAAAAAATATTTTGATATATTATACCTACATAAAGTAATTATATTATTGCAAATCAAAAAGACTTATGTTTGTTAAAATAGTATTAACGCAATTAACGACGAAAACAATTTTAATTACACTTTTTTATAAATTACCAATAATCCTGATTAATATCATAATAATTAATAAGTTGAGAGGTAATTTGAAAATATATTTCGAAATAGAACATGTTGGTCTGTTTAAGTAAAGTATCACTTTATAAAATCAAATCTTAATTTTTTTATGAACATTCATATAATAATTATGACTTTATTTAAGACAGCTTAGTAATAAAACTTATTTATGTACCTATTCATATATCTAAACTAATATTATAAATGTGAAAGTTCAGATGTTTGGATGGATATTTGTTACTCGATCACGCCAGAACAGGTGAACAGATCTGGATGAAAGGTAACAGAGATAGATTATGGTCCGAAATAGCACCTAGGCTACTTTTTATCCCGGAAAAATGTGAGGTTCCCGTGGGATAGATTTGTTTTTGTTTCTCTAGAGGCAAACCCGAGCGAAGCGATGACGAACCGCTAGTAGCTTTATACTCTTTAATATGAAAGTACTAAACTCTAAAATTGTCATTTATAGTTATACTATTTTAAAACATTGTTTGGCTTCATGTTAACTTTTATAACATTCTGCCTATATTATTCCATATTATTGTCTAAGTGCCTTAATAACAAATGATTTTGACGAGGTAGAAAGGAATGAATTAAGCTCAAACTCGTAGATTTTATAGTAAGCCATAGAGAAGTTCCGGTAAAAGTAGAGCCATAAAAACCTTTTAAAATAAGATTATTATAATGAAAAGAAATATTTTAAATGGAATCGCAGACAAATCCGGGAAATGTCTAAAGTATATTTATTTTATGTATTAATGTGCATAAATGTTTCGTAGATGGCTAAATGAAAGCATACGTACATTTATTATAACTAATTACATTTTTTTATAAATGACCTTTAATAGCTACAACTAGGTAGGTATATTATCATGTTTCGACATTACTGAGAAATATTAAAAAGTGTTAAACTTATATGGCTAAATAATTTATTATCAAATAAACAATCATTAGTTATAGTGTCACACAACCTCGTCTTTTTCAGTTGCTTTGTGATATATTTTTTCTAAGTCAATATATTAGTACTTATATCTATGTCTAGGCTAATTGTAGTATTAGATTTTTTTACTTATTAGAAAAAGATGTCATTTGAAAGAAATACAGTACCTACACTTACATAGCAGTTTTTGTATTTTTTTCTCAGAAATGAGACATTTTCCCGCGATAAAAAGTATCCTATATGTTGACCCGGATAACCATCACCATACCAAATTTTATCAAAATCTGTCCAGTAGTTTCCTCGTGATGCGGTAACAAAAATTCTAAAAACTATATATTCGGCCTCTGTATCGATAATAATGTTTATTTAAATAATATTTTCCAAAAAATATTTAATGTACAGATTCGGCTTAGTTACAATTTTATTATATGTATAGGTAGATTTAAAATTTCAATTGTCCTTAAAATATAAAAAAATGAAACCAAATATAGTTATACTTATTATAAAATCTTTCGTAACATACGTCTATTTTGTGAGAGGGATGCTGTTAGCCCTGACCTTTAAAACTGTAAGTAGGATCCAACTTTTTGTTAACTTTTTCCTCTTATGCCTCCATTTGATAACCATATTTTTTAACCAAAATATAGAAAATTAATCTTTTTTTTAACTAAAGTCTATTAACTTAGATAAAATTTTATATTTTTTTAGTCTTTCAATATACAAGTTACTTTACTTATTGTTAGAAGTAGGTACCTATTTGATGTTAAATATAAGGTAAGTTATTTCCACGTAGGGGAGCGGGGGGCTAGTTGTTGCAGGGGTAAGTAGTTACACGCCTTTTTTACCGGGATTTTAAACTCTTTGGTGGACATAATTGGTCTCATTTGTTTTCTTATAACATCGTGCATTACATAAAAACGACCAGTGACCCGCCAAGCGCCAAGCTGCTAGGTTGTGTGCATGTGTCTCGATTTCTACCAAGTAAGTAAAAAAATCCTTTCCGAAATTTTTGATTCCTGATGTCTATATTTTTTATTTTCTCAAAATGTTTAACCTTGAACGTTCATAATATATCTACCTTTAATTTGCAATATTGTTTTTTTCTACTATCGATACCCATTAATGGTGACTTCAATTTATATTAAAAAACGTCCCATGGGGCAGGTAGTTACAATTTTTTGGGGTAAGTTGTTACATGTAACAACAAAAAAAATTACCATACCTAATTTTAAAATTTTTAATTATTCTGTTTTTTTTTTAGAATGAGAAACTATAAAAGAAAAACAGAAAGAGGTACAACTAGTAAAGAAGTTTATGAATCTGCTGGAGCAGAAGTACTGCAGAATAAAATGAGCATTCGTAGCGCAAGCGAAATGTTTAATTTGTGTCCGATGTCCTTATCCAGATATGTCAGAAAAAACAAAAACAACGAAAGTTGTTTATTGGGTTACGTTAAACCTAGATTGATATTCTCACAAGAAACAGAACATGAATTAGCTTCCTATCTACTCAAACGTTCAGAAATATATTTTGGTTTACTACCAATAGAAGTTCGAAAATTAGCTTACCAATGTGCTGTAAAACTCAATTTAAAAAATATTCCCCCCAGCTGGCTTAAAAATAATACGAACTCTGCTCTCACAATTTACAACCATTACACGTGGGAGTTTATGGTCCTTTTAAAAACCACCTTAATCGAGCACAGACAGCCTGGATGTATAATCCTGGAAAAGCAAGAAGCTCGAAAACAATCCATCCGTACTCGTCGTAAACGCAAATCCGCTGTCTTAACCGACACGCCTGAAAAAGACTCATTAAAAAAGAGTATGAAGAAAAACTGGCCAAGACCAAAAAATGTGTGACAAATATAAAGAAAAAGGCAAAGGTAAAGGAAAAGGTAAAGGATAGTCCTCGAAAATGAGCGAAGAAGGTAAGGATAAGGTGAAGAAAAAAATATTGGTTTCCGACTCGGATTCCGATACTGATGAATGGTTTTGTTTAGTGTTTAGTGAAAGTTACAGCACCTCGAAAAAAGAAGATTGGGTAGAATGCTTAGAATGCAAAATGTGGGCCCATGTCAAATGTGTAACGGGAAATGTTCACTCATTCATTTGCATTAATTGCAATTCTGATGAAGGCTAATTTAATTTATGTGATATTGTTACCTACCTCTATATAAATAACTATATCTTTTTCTATAATATACTTATATTTAAGGGTAGGTACTTACCTACCCTAAAAAATGTTAGAATCCAAAGTATTTTAGTTTATTAAAAGTTTATTAAAATAACTAATAAGTATAAATAATTTACTACAAGTTGTTATTTACAGACGAAGTTTCTGTGTTTTTATATAAGATTTAAAAAAGTTCCTGCCAAAGTTATGTTATTTGTCTACAAAAAAAAATCTTCAAAAATTACGATATAGATATTACAATTACTCATAAATGTTAGAAAACTGTTTAAAGTGATCTCTTTTGTTTATAACGTTATCAAATAATAATAAAAATGATTTATAATTGATGATTTTGTTTATTTATCTATCGTGACATCGTGCCCCGAAGATGTAACAACTAACCCCAAATGTGGGGTAAGTTGTTACAATCGACTTTTTTGGTTAAATTGTCGATTGTGAAAAAAATGCATGAATTTTAATAACTTTTCAATCATATTTTAATAGGTGAATAGACATACTAACGATAAAAGCAATCAAATGTATAAATTATTTGATAGTTTTTGTCATATTGACATTTATCTAAAAATTGTAACAACGTGCCCCCCGCTCCCCTATTTATCTATACTAATATTATAAAGATGCAGTCTTTGTTTGTTTGTTTGTTTGTTTGTTTGTTTGTTTGTTTGTTTGTTTGTTTGAACGCGCTACTCTCAGGAACTACTAATACGATTTGAAAAATTATTTTTGCATTAGATAGCCTGTTTATTGAGGAGTAGGTACCTATATCATATAATATATAATCTATATATTTCATATATTAACCGTTAAAACGTACCTACGAACCCCAGCGAAGCGACGATGAGATGAAAAGTGAGATGAGAGAGAGTGATGAGATGAGTATTAAATAAATTCATATATCTGCCCGAGTAAAAAAAACTATAAAATATGTATTACTAGAGTAGTCAATTTAATGCTGGTAGTTGCTAAAGCATGACTCCAACTAGCGGCTAAAAAATAATTATGTATGTCTGTACGTACAGGTATCGACATCTTACTAATAAGTAATTATAGGACATATTAGTGAAGAGTCTATAACCCAAAATGATTTTTACACAATGAATTCACTCAATTTTCTTTTTTTCGTTAAATAAATTCTATTTGTATGATTGTATCTATAAATATTTTATAAGTAGTATAAAACTTATTTTTAAACAACTAGCACAAGATTATTGTAAATAAAAATTGTACCTACACGTTTTTACTTTTTTAACTTTATTTTGTAAAATAAAAAAATAATATTTTTAATACAAAATTCTTACTTAGGTACCAACGTAAGAATTAAATCTTAGTAGGTACCTACTAGTAAAATAATGTACACAAATATTTTGTAAAAATTTTAACATAGCTAATAGTGATGTAGGTAGAAAATATAGGTAAACCCAACTAACATACTTTTTATTTTATGTTGCCTACTTACATAAATAAGCCTACCTACTTACCTACATAAATAAAGAAATCTTGAATAAGTATAACAAATTGAAATTCGTAGCGTAGTAGCCGGTTAACAACTCCCGCACTATCTGCGGAAAGCCTTTGTTATTCAAACGGGCGATCTACAGCCGATTATATTATAAAATATCTGTTAAAGTGCCCACTTTCTCTATTTGAGTATATTCATCAGCGATCACGCGATATTCCCGCGAGAAAATTCATTAAAATAAGCTCGATGCCAAACCGTACTGACGACCGTATCGCTCTCTCCCGACCGGAGTGCCAACCTACTTATACTTGTAGACACGTTCAGAGCGAGCCGGTAACCATGTAAACAAATGAAATCTTATCGGAGCAACTCTAGTCGAAGTGTAGGTATCCGAAAAAATACATAACATAGAGTAGGCGTCACATGTGTCGTATCGATGTGTGACATGACACACGTATGTGCGGGGGGGGGGCGGCGCGGCGACGGGCGTGTGTGCGCAGGGCGGGGCCGGGGGCGTGCCGGCCCGCCCCCCCGCGCCCGCCGCGCTCGGCGCCGTCGCTCGCCCAGCTCACTCCGCGCTCGCGAGCCGTCTGTGTCGCACGTATACACGCGCGATATCTACCAGTGCCGTGCAGTGATACCGAACTTCGCCGTCTCGAGTGATGCTCGCATCGTCCTCCGGGAAAGCGATCTGAGCCAACGGTCGCAGTGACCGCGCACGCGCCATGGACGACAAGCCGGCCGCCGGCGAGGAGCACTACAGCCTGCGATGGAACAACCACCAGGCGCATCTGCTTCGCTCCTTCGAGGCGCTGCTGCATGCCGAGACTCTCGTGGACGTGACCCTCGTGTGCGCCGAGCGCCGCGTGCGAGCGCACAAGGTGCTTTTAGGTGCCTGTAGCCCGCTCTTCAGGCGGATATTCAGCGAAAACCCGTGCAAGCACCCGGTGATCGTGCTCAAAGACTTTCAAGGATGGGAGGTGCAAGCGGTGGTGGACTTTATGTACCGTGGGGAGGTTTCGGTGGCGCAGGAGCAGCTGGGCACGGTGATCCGTGCGGGGGAGTCCCTGCAGGTGCGCGGACTGGCCGACCAGGAGGTGGCGGAGTGTGCGGAGTCGGAACGCTCGCCGGCCGGCAGCCCGACCGCAGGCGCGGCGCCCTCGCCGCCTGCCAGCCCGCACAGCCCGCAGCCTCGCAGGAAACAGGCGCGCCCACGACGTCGTTCAGGGGAGTCCGATACACCAGAGAACCTGTCCATGCGACGTTCACCAAGCGGCCTGAAGGCAGTACGGCTGGCGCGAGGCCGTTCCCCGCACAAGCAGGAGCCCGAGGAGCCCGAAGCCGAAGCACCACCACCACCCCGAATGTTCCAGCCGCACCAGGACATGTTCCCACCTGTACCGCCACCGGCCGTCTCCGCTCTCTCCCTTACGCCACCTCACAGTGAGTACACCATACTTATTTTTTCGTCATATACAGAATTTTCATAATCTGACACTAATGTTTTCTAAATAGTTAATACGTGAAGTAATTGTTAGGTGCGATGTGAGAGGTTAGTCATTCTATGTTATCAAATGAGGTAGTAGCGGGAAAATAGGCGGACAGTGTCTGTAGCTGCGTTGCATAATAATGATTAATTAACTGATAAGAAACGAAGGTAGTAGAAAATACAATCATACTTCTTCATATAAGTACTACGTCTCACGTCAATCTGATATTTTACTACTCGTATTTTTACAGTAACCCACTATTGTTTTTATATTTAAAAAAAAATGTTAGAACATATTTTAAACACGTTAGTACAATTTTTGACATAAATATATCTTGGTAATGTAGATAGGTTTGATACGTATCGTGAATGCATAAAAACATAAGGTCGATATCAACAATGTCGTTTTGGATGAACAATTGCTAAATAATAAATTAAATAATAGCATGTAAAAACTGACCTCGTCTGCTCATTGTCAAATATGGTTCTCGATTATTTTTAGTCAATATTATTCAATGCTAAACATTTTATATACGTCATGAAAAATAACGAATTATTCACGCCGTAGTGAGGAGCAAAATGCGTGTGATTTATGAAGTTAAAATTCAGTTGCAAAGTAGAAACTTAATTTCTTTTAAAATGGCTTTAAACTCATTGAGAATAAAAGTAAAAGTCAGAAAGCACTTACAATTTTTATAACTACAGTTACAGGTATCGGTAAATCAAATCGCATGTAGGTTTAATGATTCGATTAGCGACCGACACAGAGTGCTAACCGGAACCTTTCACAGATAAATTAAGATCACCTATTCATACGTCGATGTCTTATCTGCGTTCCAAAGAGGTTTTAACTTTATATGGTCTATTAACTTCGCATGTCGCGTAGGCTCGGTGTAAAATGTAATTCCAAACGGCGTCCCATTCCATCCTTCGCATGCATTCCATAATAGTGTGTCAGTATAAATTTTACTCATGGATAATTACTTGAGCTCTCCTTACGCGCTTGCAAGAGGAAGCAATCAGAGCAGTAATCTTGTTTTACGGACCCTTTTCGATTTCAAAACGTATTTATTGAGGAAATGACACTCATTGTAATCTTATGTGCATTCTCTTTAAGTTTATTTGTATAAAACAAACGCAGGTTTAAAATATTTAATATTTTACGTAGGTACGTATGTATATTATTTAAATGAAGAATGATGTGATCGACATAACAGAATTTTGTAAAATGTTGAAATTTTAGATACCTACTGTAAAAAACAAAAATTATAAAAATTCCATAATGAGTAATCTACATATATACACGTACATATAATTTATAACCAAAAAGCTTGTTGCTGAGTGGTATTTTCGTTAGTTTCAACATAAAAACACTTTAGAACACTCAAAAACTTAGTTTTGTACAAATTTTGTTCATATTCGTATGTGGAGAGCTTGATTACGTCATAATAGTCTGCAGTCTACAAGGAAGGGTTGCACGCACTCGCTGACGTGCGTGGGGTAACTAAACGCTGAGGGGAGTTTGGGAACGTTTCCGCACTTGTCATTTCACTGTTCCAAATTTGAATTGCCTTACTAATCGATTCAAAAAATTATATTTAAATTAAATTTCTTTGTTATCTGTGCTATATACTAGCAATTTTGACATTTCATCAGCTTTTATTTCTAATGTTTTCGTTCTTATTGTTTATATTTAGAGTTTATTATTTTAGTTATATTTCATATGATATGGTATTAGGGTAATACTTAACATGAAGAGCTTACTGCTTAAGCATAGACATTTAAATAAAATCGCTTTAAATTTGTTAGTACAGTCGTGGATAATTTTAATAGTTCATTTTATTGTTTCCTCTTCGTGTGTGATGAGAGGTTGATTACGCTTAATGGTGGTGCGTAAACTTAATAAGGGGTTGGCGTAGCAATCACAGCTACCTTGCCTTCCTGATTGTACCCACTTGTAGTAATTCAAAATTTGATTTTCTTAGTTTTTTTCATTATACTGTTTCATTTACAACCAAGAGAACAGACATTGCCATCATTACATCGTAAATGTTGTGTATAACAAAAATGTGCCAATAGTTTTGTTTTAACAATTACACAAAATTGAGATACGAAAAGCTGATGCTACGTGTGTGGTTATACTTATTTAAACAATGGATAGGTAATTTTTAATATAACTTAAATTACAGATTGTAATGCAAATTATATTTAGTTAAGGTATATTCATAGCCTAACAAAACTATGTGTTTAATTTAACAAGTTCTGAGTCGTAAAGCAATTATGACATGACTCGATTAACGTACAGTTAACAACTGATCAAATCAGCAGTCGTTGGAAATATCTACCAACAATCGCTGGGGTTAAATTCCTTAATAGTGTTAGTGTTTTAGGATTTGGAATATAAAACATATTTAATCATTCAATACAGAATAAAAACAAATATTTATATTTTTGGCATGAAACGATTATTTAATCGGATAGTCTTAGTAATGCTGATGTTGATTATTTACAAACGTCATACCTAATAATAAATGTATCAATTATATTACACCTAGAAGTAAAATTACAGATATATTTAGGTGTTGTTAAGGTTTATTGTTTAAATTACTACAACAATCTAATATATCCAAACTAACTTTATAGTGTTTTTATGACTTTTACAAGGATTTTTTGAGGTTATGCAACCTTAGCTTTTATCCGCAGCTGCGCTCGCGCAGTTTATTTTTAGAAGCAAGTATTTACTAAAATAGCCCAATTTCCTCAATATATAGACCATAACACGCAATATGAAATTTTCAAATAGGACTATACAGACTAATATTGAAGATGGTAGAACTATTCAGAGATTAACGCGTTCAAAAAAAAAACTTTTCATCTTTATAATATCAGTGTCGATATTAACTTATCACTTAACAACTAGCATTAATGATTCCATGTACAATAGTTAAGATAAACGTACACGCAAGGTGAAGCATTGGGTACACAGCCTTGTAGGGTGGCAGAAAAAACAGAGCCCACGACATTGGCACGGCTGCGCGCACGCAAGGGTGTGTAGGGTCGCCATGACACTTGAAAAAGACTTGATTTTTTTTTTCATGATGATTTTCATGACTTAATAAAAAATAGTAAGATAATACTAACATACCTACCTAGTTTAAGTTATTATTTTTTTCATATTTTTTCAGTGTGACTATTAAGTTGTAGAGTAGTAGGTACCAATAATTTATGATGATTTTTTTTATAGACACTTGTCTTTCTTCCATATAAAATAAATACATGGTGTTATTGCTAATGTTAACAGCTTAAAATATTAAAAACACTAAATTTTTGACTATTAAACCTTAAAAAGAACTATAAATTTTTAAATTTAGATATCAAAATCGATTTATGCTTCTTTAAATCGATTTTTGCCGTTTATTTTTTAAAACATGCGCACCCTCGTCGAGGATGATGTCGAGTGAGCGCTACTCCCGCGCATTTACATTCAATCGACACTTCGTGCCGGTGACCTACTTGCCTACCGTCAGAGAATATCTGCCCTTTATCAAGGACTTAGACAATCTTAACATATTTTTAAATTTGAATAAATTTGCACTAGGCACGTATCATGGCTTTGACCGCTTTTTTAAGTTTTGTTTTTCTAGTTACTTCATCGTATACTTATACATATGTACTTATAGGATTCTACATTAATAGGATAGTCGAACTTCCAAATATTTCTTTTTGATGACACTCGCACGAATATTTTCTCCAAATTTCATATTTATTTTAGCAAATCGGATCGTGTTCAAACAAACCTTCTAATCATTTTTACATAATATACACCTAGATACATTTTAATGGGTAATTATTTTTAGCTAAACAATGACCACTTTTACGTCCGTGCCATCATTAATACTAAAATTATTACATAAGCACTTATATGAAAAAATTAAGTCAAGTTATAACTAATAAGTAAGTACTTAAGATATTTTTATACTTATATTATAAATTATATTTTTTGTATCATACTTTTTAAACGTTTCGCTAACACTTAATACTCTTTGTTTAACAATAGTGTTTTTAAACATATTCGATTAGAATAAAATAGTATATTTATAAAGCGTTATAATATGAAGAAAAAACGTCGATAATTGTATCATTAATATAACATCGACATAAATAATGTTCTTTGATAAGTTCATTTATTTGTAGGTATTGCATGTTATATTCACATGACTGATAACAATGAAGCTTGATATTATAATTATTAATTATACTAGCGACTCACCCTAGCTTCACTCGGGTTCGTCCCTAGGTTGATTATCCATACAAACTTTCATCCCCATTTTCACCCCCTTAAAGGATGATTTCTGGGATAAAATGTATCCTATGTCGTTCCCAGAGTCTCAATCTATCTTCTTACCAAATTTTATCTAAATCGGTTCAGTAGATCCAGAGACACAACGTCACAAACTCACAAACTTAACCTCTTTATAATATGAAGTATATATATACATATTACATATATTGTTTAATCCCGCAGATCTGCCTACAGTTACATTGGCTTTTTTCATCTGTATTTAAATTTATTATCTAAGAATAACTTAACATCTCATGGTCGATGCTAATGAGAATAATATCCCCTAATATATATGATCAATATCAATATTTACCAAATATTATTTTTATAGAAAACCGAATCGTTCAAGCAAACGCATATAGTTATAAAGCCCAATTCATAATTTGTGATTATATAAGATAAATTTTATATGACAACTGAAATTTATGTCATCGATTTTTGTACAAAAAAGCGTAACATAAAAAAAATTTACTACCTATTACGAAACATATATTTTGTAGTTTGAAGTGATTTTGTAGTTGCCAAATCGTGTAATTTGCTAATTACTATAAATTAAAGAATCATTTTAGCTAAAAAAATATATGCGTTTGAACTTTTTACAATAAATCTTCA